GTGCAAGCCCTACCCGCTGTGCTATCGCTCCAGTCCAAAAATTCAAAAAGTCACTTCCCAGCAACTGTAAGTCCTACCTGTCCCTGGCAACTGGTCCACAACTACTCTTTCCCTCTCTGTCTGCTCATCATCATCTTGACAAGAGATTTCTATTTCCTAAGCTTTCAATCATGGAACATGCCCTTTCCCACCAGAGAGGCCAGAGTCGACCTACACCCACATCCACCTGCATCCACCCCACTGTAGACCTTGCAGTAACCATCCCCTCTGGGGTTCCGATTTCACCCATCTTTTCAATGGGAAGGTAAGAGCAGGGGTTCTTCAAGTCGCTTCATGAACCATCAAAACAGTAACACCAACTGTTAGGACACCATCACACACACACACACACACACACACACACACACACACACACACCACCACCACCACCACCACCACCACCACGTCCAGGTTTGTTGAATGAATAAATGAATGGACACTCTACGTACCCACCAAAATGGTCAGGGTCAGCCCACCATCTCCAAAGCCCCTTTTCCACATACTTGTTCAGAAGTCTGCCACATGTCATGCCTTGGCATCAGTTCCCCATGCTGCTCATCATGACTTTATTTTAAAAGCATATGGGCGCACATTGAGCAGAAGTGGCCCTAAGGCTCTCTCTGCGCCAACACCCAACTCTGGAGAAGGGGGTCCAACAGTTCTATTGAGTGACATGATGTTGTGAGACCCCCGAAACAAGCCCCTAGTCCACATACCTCTTACTGTCTCCAACCGGCCCTCAGAGCACTGCCCACAGCCCACATTCCTCTCTCAGAACTTGATACACTCAGCTATAATCACTCATGCATTGGTGTCCATTGCCCAGCCTGGGAGCCCTGGGCCTGAGGAACACCACTGGGCCCCACAGCCAGCAGGCTGCGAGACATGTAAGGAAGGAAGGGCTTGTCAGAACAACAGATGACTGAGGGAAGAATGTAGACATGTTGACTCATGAATGATGGAGTGAGATCTCCGTGTCTCGTGGGTCACTTTCCTCCACTTTCCCTGGAAATTTGGTGAGGCGGGTAAGGGTTGTTATTTGTTTGGTATTTACAGCATCCATAAAAAAAAAATAGTTCACATCCCTTGTTGTTACAGTTGTAAATTCCTGTAGGGGTTTCCTGGTGTTTCGGAAGAGGGTCAACAAGTCCTGCCTCTTTCTAATTGTGCCTTCAGTGTCTTTATCCCACCTCTCCAGCTTTCCTTCTCCTCCACCATTGTCTAGTTCTACACCATTTTTGTCATTTTTGCTCCCTCTATATTTCTCTCCTTACTCTCTCTCTCTTCTCTCTCTCTCTCTCTCTCTCTCTCTCTCTCTCTCTCTCTCTCTTTGTTTTTTGTTTTTTGTTTTGTTGTTGTTGTTGTTGTTGTTTTGGGTCACACCTAGCGTTTCACAGGGGTTACTCCTGGTTCATGCACTCAGGGATTACTCCTGGTGGTGCTTGGGGGACCATATGGAATGCTGGGAATCGAACGCCTTACCTGCTGTGCTATCACTCCAGTCCCCCCTTACTCTCTTTTGCTCTTTCTCTCTTTCTAGTTGTCTCTGGTTCTGTCTGTCTCTGTTTCTTTCTCTGTCTGCCTCTATCTCTCTGTCTCCCCAAACCACCCATCCCCCCCAGCCCTGCCTACCACACCCCTCCTGATTCCCAGTCCTGCTCACTGAGTATTTTCCAGGTATACCAAGCACCTGACAGATCAGCTACCATGCTCCTTCCCAGCCACCTGGCACAGTCCTACCGACTCCCTGGGGGAAAGAGGGGTCACCAGCATGGGCTTTGAACCTAAACACTCTAGGCTAGTCCCAGACCCAGCTCTTCGCATGTGCTAGTCAGGCAACCTGGGCCCAGGCACATTACAAAACTCTCTGAGCCTCAGCCTCCTTCCGGGAGGAAATGTTGGGAAGTGTGGGTGCATACAAGTTCACCCCAGTTTTATCCCAGTACCACAAGTTTCCCCCAGAGCTTGGGGAACAAGCCTCTAGGAGCATTGCCGGGATTGAACAAGACAGTATTTGGACGAAATAACAGGGGTGAGAGCTTTCCTATCCCTCTCCTTCTGTGATAGGGTTTATGTTGTCTGCAAGCATCGTTAATGCACAGAGACCCTCGCTGGAGTCTGACCCTTGCTCCAGGCTGCACGTTCCCCCATTCCAGGAACTTGTCCACCTCATCCTCCCCCAAAGAGGTGACCGTTATCCAGAGCCCAGCTTCCAGCCCTCTCTGACCTCTCCCCTCCACCTTACTTTTCCTACCCTGAGTTTCCCCAGAAATCCTCAGAGAATCTGCTAGAAGGAACCAAGCAGCTCTTAGTTCTCTTGGGGATGAGCCCCAGGGACCCCGAGTCCATGGAATTGGGGATATCCTCCAACCCAAACACAGGAATTCTGATTTTGGAAGAGGTCTAGAGATGTAAAGCTATTTCTGTGATTTAGACTGAGTGATAAATGAATAAAAAGTTTGAGTGAGTCAGTGAGTGCCTAAAAGAATGGCCTGGGAGAAGGGGGGATGTTGGCTTTTTCCCCCAGACCTGTGCTCTGAAAGGCAAAATGCGTGTTCATCTGTACCCACCCATGTCTCTCCTGAGCCCACAGACACAGCTGCCCCTGTCCCCAATTGCCTGGCCTCAGCCCCATCCTTCCCATCGTGACATCTGTTTTCGCCTTCTTCCTACCACCCCCGTGTCCTGAGCAGCTTCCCACTGACCCCTTATAGTTCCCCCTTCTCTGCCAGCTGCGCCCTGCCCCACAGCCCAGCTCATCCTCCCCACCCACAACAGGGTTTGCAAACAAGGGGTGGGGAGGACCCTTCTGCAGCCCAAGACCCCTGCACGAGAAGAGACTTCGGACACGGTAGTTACACAAAACAGGTTTATTTGCTGAGCCACGGTGACTAAAAGGGTCAGAAAGCAGCACGGGTGTTCTAAGGGAGGGGCGGGGGTGGGGAGAGGGAGGGCAGCCCTCTGCCCAGGACCACCAATCAGCCCCCTGCAAGTGTCCGAGCACACCCTCTTCCCTTCTAGAAGCTTCAGGATGCTGCCGGGGAGAACAATCCAGGATAATGTGGACGATTCCAGCTGGGGGTGGCCGGGAGCCGCTTCCATCTCCTCCTCCCCTTGTTCCTTCCGTCCCATAGACACCAGCTCCATTGAGTCACCAGCTCGGTCCTTCATGCCCAGGTCGTCCAAGAACAAGCCCCACAATGTGCACCCACACACACCCCAAGCCCAAGGTCCCCCGCAGTCAGTTTGGAGCGTTCCCCTCCAGGCCTCCCTGCAGCCGCCATCAGCCCCCTCCCCACACACACACACAAACACACACACGCACACATACACACACAGCTGCTGCTGCGCCTGTTTCTCAGCTCCCAGCCCAGCAGGAGCACCAGGGGGGCTTCAATCCTGACAGCGAGGTGTGAAAACCCACACCCCAAGGCAAACAGGTGGCCACAAGAGCCCTGATCCTGGGAAAAGGGCCAGTGGGGGGGAACCGCTATAAACCCCAAGGGAGGGGCAGTGGGGAAGGGCTCAGGGGAACCCTTAACCAGCCTCCTTAGGCTCTCAAGAAACCCAGGGGGGGAGAGGGGCGCTCAGGGACACAGCAGGGCCCCGTGTCCCTAAGCTATGGACCTGGCACCCACATCGACTTCTCTCTCCAAGCACGGACCAGCCGTCAGAGCCCCCGACCCTGGGGGTGCACGCCCTCCTCTTCCTCTCTGGGGGCTTCGCCCTTGTCTCTTCTGCTCACAGAGGTTTGATGGGAAGCACAGAGGGGTGGGGGAGGGGAGGCAGGGCCCAAGGGGTCCAGGGACACACTCAAGGCCCTTCCTCCCGGGTTTGTGCCTACATAGACCAATATACACACAGCAGGTCCTCCCCCAAAGGAGCTCAGGGCACCGGGGAGCACCGGTGCCCCCCCCAAAAAAAATGTTTGCCCCTGGAGATGGAGGTGGGGTAGGGTGCTGAGAGCATCCTGTAACACAGTTCTGCAGGAAGGGATGTGGGAGAGACGAGGATGGGGCTGAGCAGCACAGACAAGAGACACCACCCTCGCTCCCTTCTCCCTGCCCAAGTCTCCATTCGCTGGGGGACACTGAGCAGCCCCATGGCCCCCCAATCCCCACAGAGAATAGAGAGGAAGGAGGACAACCAATCAGGGAAACCTGCAACAAGAATTCTTCTTTAGCATCACCAGGACACTATAGGAAGGCCCCACTCACCCACCCTCACCACCATACTGGGGTCGCTCTAACCCCAGAGCCTGAAAAGACAGTTTGGTGGGAGTCATGGCACTGCGGGTGGAGGGCACGGTAGTGGGGGTGGGGGATGGGGGGGTGTCTTCTTGGAGTTGCCTCTTCCAGAGGAGAGTAATAGCTCCTTCCTGCCCCTCAGAGTTTCTCCCACACTCAGGGCACAGGGTGTGCTAGCAAGCCTCAGGATTCTTAACCCTTAGGAGCCCAAGGGAACACAGAGGAGGGTTTGAAAGCCAAGAGAGCCGGGCTGGAGGCAGAGAGAAAGGCGTTCGGCCTGAAAACACAGAGATGCCGGCAGAAAGAAGAGCAAAGAGCAGAAAGGAGAAGCCCGAAGATGCTTGCTTTTCTTCAAGTGGGGTCCAAGTGGGGTTCCCTTGTTTTCTGCCAGTGGGGAGAGAGAGGGAGATTTAGTGCACAAGGTCAGCACCACCAGCTCCAAGGCATGAGGACTGGAGGAGGGGTAGGGGAGGGGGTTCCATCTCCTTCCACAGAGCCCCAACTCTGAGCAGGATTAAAGGAGGGGAGCAAACCAGGAAGAGGGGTGGGATGGGGGTTCAAGGAGGCAGGGCGCAGTGAGGCAGGGGAAGGAGCAAGTGCAAAGGAGAAGGTTCCATGCTCTCCCCGAATTCCCAAGAGCCGGGACCAGGCCCGGTCCAGGCCCAGGGCGACCCCTCCCCACAGCCCCCGCCCAATTTCTCTCCGACGCCAGCCCTAGTCCACCACCAACGTCTCTTGGCTGTAGGGCAGGGATTTCTCCTGCGTCTGCTCCCTGCCCTTCCCGGCGTGGGGCCCGGGACCCTGGCTGTGGCCAGAAGAGTAGCTGCCGGACTTGTCTCCGCTGCTGCTGTGGGCGACGGCCCCGCAGCGGCCCCGGTGGCCACAGCACAGCATGGACGTGCAGGCCTGGCGGAAGCGGGGGTCAAAGAAGGCGTAGAGGAAAGGGTTGAGACAGCTGTTGACGTAGCTGATGCAGGTGCAGTAGGGGAAGACGTTCATGAGGAAGAGGTCGAAGTCGCAGGGCCAGTGCAGCAGGCTGCCCAGCATGTAGAGGGTCTTCACCAGGTGGTAGGGCATCCAGCAGAGGGCGAAGGTGACCACCAGCACCACGATGATGCTGAGTAGCCGCCGGCGCTTACGCAGGCCCTCGATGCGCTCCTTGCGGAAGTGGCCAGCGATGGTCTGGGCGATGAAGAAGTAGCACGTGAGCATGACGGTGAAGGGCACCACGAAGCCCACGGCGGTGGACGACACGCCCAGGCCCACCTCCCAGGCCCACTCATAGTTGGGGCCGGCCACCAGGGAGTAGTCCATGTAGCACTGCACCCGGGTCCTGTTCTCCAGGTCGCCGGTGGCCCGGAAGACCAGGACGGGCACGGCCAGCAGGGCGGCCAGCACCCAGAGCACGGCCGTGGCCACGGCCCCGCTCACCCGCAGCCGCAGCCGGGCGTTGGCCACGGGCCGCACGATGGCCAGGTAGCGGTCGAAGCTCAGGCCCGTGAGGCAGAAGACGCTGGCGTACATGTTGACGAAGATGAGATAGCTGCTGAGCTTGCAGGCGAACGTGCCGAAGGGCCAGTCGTAGTCTCGGTAGGTGTAGGTGGCCCACAGCGGCAAGGTCACCACGAAGGTCAGGTCGGCCACGGCCAGGCTGGCGATGAAGACGTCGGCCGAGCGCCGCTTCTCGCGGCTGGTCCGGAACACGGTCCAGAGCACCAGGCCGTTGCCCGTGGTGCCCAGCAGGAAGACCAGCAGGTAGATGGCAGGGATGAGCGCCCCCGACGACTTCCACTCCGCGTACTCACACTCCGACTGGTTGTCCCCTCCGTAGTAGTTGTCGAAGTCCCCACTCTCCTCCATGCTGGGGGCTTGGGGGGTCCCAGGGACGCAGGGAGGGAGGACAACAGTTTCTGTGGCTGGCTCAGCCACTCAGCAAGTGTCCTCCCCCCGAGTGTCCAGCAGAAGAGGAGCGACAGGCTGCAGGCAGGGACCGGCTGCTGGAGATAAGTGTCCCGGACTGAGTCCCAGCCGGCCGACAGGCTGCAGGCACCCCAGAGCCTCTGCAGCCCTGCCCGCCACCACGCCACCCTGCGTCTGGCCCCAGCCTCGGTCCAGACACTTCCTCGAGCCCTCCAGAGTCTGTCTCCTCCTTGGCCCGGTCACTCCTCCTCCTCCCACCTCCAGGCCAGCCCCTCACTTGCAGAGTCCTCAGATGCTGAAGAAGTTACAGCCCACTTTTTTTTTTTTGCTTGTTGTCACTGGGCAAGTGGACCGAATTGACCCCTGATGTGCTGGGCAGAATGTTATCTGCGGTTTGCAGGCTGGCCTCCACCCCGGCTCCACCCCAAGCCCCCCTCCTGCCTCTGACACCCACCTTGCCCACCAGCCTGCTCTGCCTTTTTGGTTTTTTGGGTTTTTTTTTTTTTTGCCCTGGCTTTTAGAGTACCTCTCCTGAGGTCTCTTGTTCTCAACCCCCCCCCCCCCACCCCTCTAAATTGGGGCAAATTATGCAGATTGAAATCCTGCCTGAGCTGGAGCCAGGCAGTAGGGGGCGAAGAGGGTGAGAGATTTCGCAGAAAGGTCTGAGCATCTGGCCAAGCTCTCTGGGATGCCCGGAGATTGGGGAAAGGGGGGGGGGGTGGGGGCGTGCAGGGGGGGCGCCTGTTCCCCCACCCCCAATCAGACCAGACTTCCATCTAGGACCCTCTTCCTATCGGTCCCCTCAGATCTTCCTCTTTTACTCCTCTCTGACCCTTGCTTCTGGGAGCTTCTCTGGCTTACGGACACAATTGGAGGTAGAGCAGTTTCTCTAGAATTCATTGGCTGTTGGCATCAGAAGGTTGAGAGGCAACAGAACCGGAAAGAAACCCCAGACAAGAGGGAGGGTCTGTATGGAATCAAGCCATTTCATCAGTGGGGAAACTGAGACCTGTGTCCTGCCCCAGAAGGACACATTTTGTTCTAGGGCTTTTGTTTGCTTTTCTTCTTTTGCAAGCACTAAACAGCAGTGACCAGTGTGTGATGAGGTGAATAAGCGTGAGGATGGATGAATTATGGAGGGAGGGAGTGTGGGGAGAGGAGTTCATATACAGAGAAATGAGTGTCCGAATTATTATGTGATGAGAGCAGAGATACATTCAGTCCTCAGTCCTCGGGTTCCCACATGCCCTGCGTGGGTCAGGATGTTTCTTTAAGGGTGGGGGTGGGGGTGGGGTGGGAAGTTTCAGCTAAAGGAAGAGGCAGAAAAAGGAGCAGCTCTGTGGGCATAGTCCCATAGAAATTCATCTGGCTGGCCCCCTCTCCAGGACACGTGGACAGAAAGAGGAAAAAGATCCCAAATTGGGCAGGGGTGAATGAAGGAAAAAATCAGAACATACACCTTGTGTCTGTGCTTTTTGTTTCTTGGGTCTTTTTTTGTTTGTTTGTTTTGTTGGTTTTTGTTTGGGGACCACACCCTGCAGTGCTCAGGAGTTAGTCTTGGCTCTGCTCTCAGGGATCGCTCCTGGCTGGGCTCGGGGGTCTCTACAGGATGCTGGGGACTGAGCCCAGGTGAGCCACCCTAGCCACTGTACTATCTCTCTGGCCCCCTGAGAACAGGCATCTTGGACAAACCCAAAGCAAAGGGCTTATGCAACGAGAACCTCTGGTCTCAAAGAAAGCAAATTGGTCCGGCAAGGGTGGAGGGAAGGTGACAGTGGTGACAAGACTGGACATGGAATAGAAATGCCTATAACAAATCATCGTGTGCAGCTTTGTTAAGCGGCGTTACTTAAATAAAGCAGGGGATGGGGAGGGGGGAGAAAGACAGCTTCTGCAGAGGTTAAAACAGGGACCCCAAACTCAAATACCCATAGAAACCAAGCTAAGAGTGTCTCGGGATAAAACCGCTGATTTGAAACAATAGAGAGCAATGAAGACTGTGGCAACACGGAGCAAACAGCCGCATCTAGCGGGAACCTCGTGGGCCCGTGTCTGGTGCCACGCAGGGATGTCCAGGCCAGCATTATTCAGCCTTCAGCTTGTTCAACAACATTTCAAACTCCGGATTTTAGGCAAATATTCCAGAGTTGTCATTTAGGAAACTGATTTCATACACACACATGCATGCGCACACACACACACACACACACACACTCATACACACAAACACACACACTCACACACGAGCACACACATTCGTGCACACACACACAAACACACACATTCATGCACACACACACAAACACACACATTCGTGCACACACACACAAACACAGACATTCATGTACACACATTCACACATAAACACACACATTCATGCACACACTCACACACACAAGCACACACATTCATGCACACACTCACTCACACAAATACACACACAAATACACACACACATTTATGCACACACTCACACACACAAACACAGAATGAGGCCTGTTGAACATCCTTGGGATCTCAGTGGGTGCTCTTTGAACAGGAACTTGCCAAGAATAGAAAGTGGGGAGAGGAGGCCCAGAGGAAGAAACAGAAACTGCAAAGGACAGAGAAACAGCAAACAAGCCTGGTGAAAGCCTCGGGGTCTGACAGGAAGGTGCAGGGCAGGAAACTGGAGGGAAAGATAAGATCCAAGTGCTGGGATGCTCCCCTCCCGGCCGGCCACGTGTGTGCGAAGGAAGCCTGCCGGCTTCACTGCCCACAGGGCACTTCCGACACCGAGAACATCTTCTGTGTGTGCGGTATTCATTATCTCCTAGTGGGGGATGGGGGGTCCTCCCCCATTGATTTTCAGCCCGCCAAGCGAGAGGCTCAAGGCAAGGGCCGAGGATGTGAGGTTGCTCAGACAAACCTTGAGGTGCTGGGGAGCCCCCCCACACACACACCTGCAGGCCACCTTGGCATGCTATGGGCCTCCAGTCACATCCTGTCATCAGCCCTACCAGATCAGGGCTGTGCCTGTCAGATGCCACCATCATTTCCTTTATTTTTTTTTCCTACTAGAATAACATTTATTGGGAACTCCTCCTCCTTGGGTGACCAGGTTCTTCTTCTTTTTAATTTTTTTTTATTAGTGAAACACCATGAGGTACAGTTGTAGACTTACACAAACTTTCATGCTTGGGTTTCAATTATACAATGATTGAGTACCCATCCCTCCACCAGTGCCCATTCTCCACCACCAATGATCCCAGTAGCCCTCCCACCTCTCCACCCCATCCCCCCACCCCACCCTGCCTCTGTGGCAGGGCATTCCCTTTTGCTCTCTCTTTTCTTTGGGGTGTTGTAGTTTGCAATAGAGGTATTGAGTAGCCATCATGTTCGGTCTATAATCTACTTTCAGCCGACTGGTTCAGCCCTTTTGGAAGACCAGATTCTTCTTGAGTGGACCGTGAATGTTTGCTTCTCCTGCGTCATCAATTTTAATAACGTGACACCTTCAGGAAGTAGGTCCCTGCACTGGCCTCAATGTCACAAGACTGTGATGTGGCTGGAGACTCAGGGGTCGAGCCAGACTCAGACTCCCCGAGGCAGTGCTGAGCCCCAGAACACTCCCGACTCTGCACCCTCTCCTGAAGTGATGAAGAGAGCCAGGAAGATGGAGGATGGTGCAAGGATGCCGGAATTGACCTGAAAATAAGTTTTCTATGGGCTGGAGAGAGAGTTCATTGGGTAGGATATTGTATAACACCAACCCGAATTCAATCCCTTGGTTCAGTTCCCCAAGCACCTCCAGGAGTGATCCCTGAGTGCAGACCCAAAGGTAACCCCTGAACATCGCCAGGTGTGGGCCAAATAGAAAAACAAACTAAAAAAAAAAATTTTTTTCTCAGTGGAATTAAAGAGAGGTTGCTAAACCATAATGCCCAAAAGGAAAAAGAGATGGAGAGAGAAAAGAGAAGGAAAGTGCCTGCCATGGGGTGGGGGTGGAGGCATAGGAGGGAAACTGGGGATGCCAGTGATGGGGAGTGTGCACTGATGAAGGGACGGATGTTGGAACTTGTATGACTGAAACCAGACCAGAAACAACTTTGTAACTGTGTATTTTGTAACTGTGTATCTCACTGTAATTCAATTAATAAATCTTTTTAGAAAAGAAAAATTGAAAAAGGAGGTTGTGGAAATCATCTGCCTCACAGGTAGGGGGAAGGTGTGGGATGGGGGTATACTGGGGTTGTTGGGGATGGAGAATGGGCACTGGTGAAGGTATGAGTGTTTCATTGTATGACCAAGACTTAAACCCGAAAGCTTTGTAACTGCTCTCACGGTGATTCAATAAATAAAATTATAAAAAAAAAATGGAAAAAAAAAAGTAAGGTGGAGTTCATGCCCAATTCAATCAGCTAATCAGTGGCTGAATAAATAGCAATACTCTTACATAAAAAAAAGAAAAAGAAAAAAAAAGGAGGTTGCTAGAATGTTCCAGAGTTATACGACACTCTTTCCCAGAGGCCACCTCACCAGGACTCACTGCCCTGAGGTTCTGCCTGACTGTGCAACATCCAAGCTTGGAGATGCCTAAGGGATGGAGAACATGCAAGCTAGGTTCTCTATCCCTTGCCTCAAGGGAGCTCCGAACCCCACCAGGTGGGGCTGGTCCCTCCGCTTAGCAGCACAGCTCCATCTGAAGCTGAGTTTGAATCCCAGAGCAGGTCCTCACTGCCTGAGTCCAGCCAGAGAGGCTACATCCAAAACCAATTCTGGAATGAGGCCTTCTGCCACAAACAGGGGTAGAGACAACCCCCCCACACTCCAGAGTTGGGGCTCTTCCCAGCGAACAGGGTGGGGCTGCCTGGGGGCTGCAGGTGTGTCCCTAGGAGACCAGGATGGAACCAACCTGCCACCGCACCGGCCTTCTCCCTTGCTCACTTGCTCACCCAAAAGGACATCGACATTGCGTGAGAGTCACGGGTCTTGTCATAGGAGCAGGTCGGGATGGGGCTGAAGGGCGCAGACTTACAGGATCCAGGCCCAGTGTGATTCCCACAGTGAGTTAGGGTCCTCTCTGGGTGTCCTGCAGAGAGCACGGGGGGGGGGGGGGGGGGGGGGGGGGGGGAGGAGGAGCATGCCCTTTGCAGCAGGAAACACAGAGAGAG